GCGTTGCGTGGTGAATAAAGGGATGGAAAAAATAAGGTATATAATGCATAAACGAGCGTAGTACTTTGTGAGCTACATGCTACTCCCTCTACCTTTTTCTTTCCCGATAACGCTCATGTTCACCTTGTTATGCACTTGCGCGCCACATCAATCAATTGCCTAAACTTTGAGCAACAAGCTATCAAGTGATTGAGAACCACCTGTGCGGGGAAAAAAGTGGGAGTGTTAATGTAGACAGTGTTACCAACCAATTTTTTCTAGAATATTTATTAACTTGATTAAATTAAACCGACTACGCTTTAAGCAATATAAGTACATACATACACGCATATTAGACCGTACCACCTTACAAGTTTTCAAAAAAACAACCGCCGTACACCTCTGAGTCTGCAGTATATTTACAAGGCAAAAAAAAGAAAAGAAGAAAAATGTTCTTCTGGAATAATACAAATATTCCCTTAACAAAACAATTAGGATGACAAGAACTGAGATCTGGTGTGTAAGTACTAGAACGGGGTACTTGAGGTCAACGAGATTTAAAACAAAAACACTATTTCCCTCAAGACAAGAAACTCGAGAAATCATACTTTAAGATCCGAAGATAAAACGAAAAATGTAAAAAGGCGACCCCTACCTACGGTCAACCAAAGGAAATTATTATTTTTTTTTCGAAATTGCCTTGCAAAAACAATTTAAGAAGACTCAAGGATGAATACTTATAAATATATAATTCTAGGTCGAGATTGGACTAAGCGTGGAGAGGCATCTGTTTACCAGATGGCGGTAGGGATGTCGAAGAAACATCGATACATCGAAAATATCGATGTTTTGCTTCGATGCATCGAAAATTTTCCACTCGATGTATGAATACTGGATGCATCGAGGCCAAACATCGCTTTGTCTGAAATTCAAAGAAAGCTCATAAAATTTTGTTAAAATAAAGTGCAAGTTTCAATTGCTTTGATTTTTAATACTTTAATACTTCTCCTGACTGTCACTTTGTTATACTAAAATTGTATGAGCTATAAAACTGCATACCCAAAAAAGTTCTAAAGAGTCATATGTATTAAAAAAGTTCAAAATATTAATGAAAATTTGATGATTTTTTCCAAAATTTTTTATAGGTTTGAAAAATTTTTTTTATACTTTTATAAAAAAATATATATTATTATATAAATATATTAAATATATAGAATATTTAAATAAAAAAATCAACACGTGAACACTTTTTTGAGTCACCATAATATATACATAAGTACATCAAAATAAACGCGATCGAAAGTACATCCATCAAAAAACGATGACGACCTTGCTAAAAAGGATTAGGCTTTATTCAATTATAGTCCTGAGCGAGGCCTTTTCGGTGACATAAAATTTAAAAAATCGTATAGCAAATAAGAAAGTTATAGCGAAAAACGCGATTTAGCGGTTTTATAAAAAACATTTACACCCAACAAAAGTATTCAACTAAAACTGACACACGCTAAATTTTTTTTCGTGATACGCCTTAATGCTCAGATTTAACACTTGGATCCACAAGTTGTCCAAATTTCAGCGATCAGGAATTTACAGGGTGGGGTATACCTATTTCATGTGCCCTTTTCCGGCAAGCTTTGTACCGAGTTACGCCAGTTCTTCGGCTTACGAATTTCCTCTATGTCAATTCTTCAGAATCGTCAGGGACCCACAATATAGAAGTACGAAATTTCCACCATGGAGGTTGCCGATTAAATATTTTATGTGGGAAAATGTAGACATCATAACTGTATATCGTATCGTACCTTACCAGTGCTGTGGCCTTGTCGACTGCTATAACTACCGTCTGATAAACACAACAGTGGTCAGGAAGGCAAAAGCTGAAGATGCTTAGAATATACATTTTCACCAGCTCTCGCTTTGAGCCATCCTACAGCGCCCCTTTCTATAATTTCTCATTCTAGCTATAATTGCAGTGGAGGTGCATTAGTCCACTGGTCCAGGGAGCTCCGGCAGCGCTCGGTCAAATACTTTCCGCGACCACATTTAGTTTTTGGTCAGTCGCATACAACCATACTTGCTATGCTCTCATCGAAATCGTGCAGCGTTAGTCTGATCGCGTGAATTTCCTCAGCCCCACTTTAAACAATTTACCCTTCTAATTCTACCTACAAAACCTAACTTATAAAACAAAACCTTTGGCAAATAGCTATAAATTATGCTTTGCTTCATCCAAATGCCTTAAGTGATTTGGCCCGAGTGGGTATTAGAAGAGTTGGGGGTGGCGGCTGCTCACAAGCACACGCCTGCTACCCAATTGGCCACAAATGTGTACGTGTGCAACTCAATAAACACTTTTGCACGCGTGCAGGTTTTCACAGTTCGAGGGTTTTTTGTGGCTTCATGTCTACTACCCACACAAATTCACATACACACATGCATGTGCCCACATGCACGCCAATCTACACCCCGTGCCACAAATATAAGCGCACCACATATGGACAATTATGTAATGTTTATTCTCTTGTTATTTAGCTTTAGATATTTTATATAAAAAATTATTCTTGAACAAAAACCGCATGAATCCAAGTTTGAAATTTGTGCAATACTTAAAAAAAATCAATAAACTTTCGTAAAATTTGCGAGCTTTTTAAATAGATTTCTTATGCCGAATTTCCATATTAAATAAGACAAATTTTAATGACAAAGTTGGGCATTAAAAAATTTTTATTAAATTTGTCTCCACATGGCATTTTTTAAATGGCCCACATTTTTCGTTATTTCAATTTGAGTATTCAGATTTAGCCCATTAAACGCTTATTTGAAGTAGCGCTGACCGTAAATTTTTTGCTTTTTTTTTTTTGCTGAAGGTGTTGTGAATTTTCCTCCGATGATTTCTTTTCATATGAAAGAAAATGAGCCACACCATCAACAAAATAAATTCATCACTTGCTAAAACTTGTCAATATGTGGTGCGCTTATAATTATGATACGCAGTGTACTTAAATAAATATGTTTGTATTTGAGTCTCAATCGATGCAGCACATAATATTGATGTTATGAACTCGCTACAATAATAGCTACCATAATAATAACAACAACAACAGCAACAAAAACAACACAAATATGTTTCAACACAATCGCTTACCATTTGCTAATATTCTTGCGTGTTTGGCAAGTTTTTTTTTTTGTTGCCGCCCACACACGCCCAAATAAGTATATTGCTGATATTGATGATGTTGTTCCATATAAAAGTGATTCACTCAATGCCGCAATTGTTTTCTTATAATATAATAAAACCTTCGTAGTACGTGAGTTAGTTAGTGGCAGCAACGGCTTTGGGAGCCTGCAGAAATAAATGACTAGCCGATTTTCTAAAAATTAAAAAAGAAAAAGCCATTTTCCCGTAATGTGATGTAAACCCGGTAGCTCAGATTTTCTGGCAGATTCTTTGTCGATTATGCCATAGCCACAGAATTTGTTCCCAATATTTCGTTAATTGAACCACAAAAAAAAGTGGTTGGATTGAAATTTTTCGACGACCGCAGAAGTCGCCGTTGAAGTAATCCACATGCGATTTGGCCTTTAGTAATCTCAACGATAGCTAGATCTGTGTTTTCTTTTACCGTTGTATATGGGTCCGTGAGTTTGGCTATCGATTTTTGGGATTGTTGTGCTTAACAGGAAACCTAAGGAAATCTATTGATCGGCTTGATAGGGGCACTCAGAACTGCACCAGCTTCAGCACTTTATATCTTGCTGCATCTCTTGCCGGCGGACATATCGGCCAGGAATATAGTGTAATGAATATAGGGTCAGTTTGCGTCCAGGTCTTACGGTCACCGTAGTATAGCGTCAACTTTATTCGAACGGATTGACTATGTAATCCCGAATATGCACTTTGGAACGAACTTCGAGGTTCCAATAGAGGTCGAATGCTGGCGTGAATGCTTGAAGAGTGCTGGCTCGGTGCATGTCTATACAGACGGATAAAAGATGTGGAAGAATGACAGTCGTATTTGCGGGGCTCGGCCTCGACAAACGCTATAAGCTGCCAAACTACTACAGTATTTGCCAGCGAAGGCATTGGCCATAAGGAGAGCAGGTACATCTCTATATCGACAGTCAGGCAGCGATAAAGATGCTATTATCGCACAGCACTTCCACTATAAGTGTGGCGGAGTGCAGGAAAGCCCTGGATTTGCTACATACCAATATTTAAGTACATCTGTACTGGGTTCCGGGGCACACAGGCGTCGCGGGCAACGAAGATCCCCCAAAGGCTTGTCCAAAGAGGCCGATTTGTGCGAAAACCTACTGATAGAGGAGGTACCAATTTACCTACAAGCGATTAAACGGGAACTCGAACTGTCCATGATCTAGAAGGCACAGAGGGCGTGGAACAAAACGCTAGACTGCAAGGTGTCCAGTAATAAGAACGGAGCGTATGGATGAAGCTCACGAAGTTTTCTCCTTTCCCTCAAGAGGGCAAATTGCCTGCTGCCACCGCACACCTTTAAACTGGCTCTGATCAATGATAACATCTGTAGAAGATACAGAACGAAAGAGGACTGAGCAAGCAGACTGCGTGTTTATCTGCTGGGGGTTTTCTACCTAATCCGAAAGCCACCGCCAAGAGGACTGCGATGTTCTTCAAGATTGATCCTGGTATGCAATGATTAGGACCTTAACGTTTTCTGCGAAGTCACGCAGTGAATGGCCAGCTTACCTAACCTAACCCTAATAAACTTGAATAATTTCTTACTTAATTACTTTTTCATTCGACAGCCGTTATTCTTCTAAATTCAAATTGCCAAAATTATAAGTCACGTACTCAATATTACCCGCTTTGCCATATTTTGTGCATATATCTATTTCTAGTTATATTATACTCCTTGTGTGATTTAAATCTACTTTAGTACTTCTTTCCGAATGAATAACTACTACATTCCTGCTACATTTTTTTTTCTTTTTGTTCATAATTTCTACTATGTACTTATTTCTACGAAAGCTGTAGATTTTTGTCTTTTCCTTCGCCCATCTTTCTCAGCCTCATCAGTAATTCTCTCCTTTGTCTCAGTCACTCGTTCAGTTTAACGGTAGGCGTAAATAACAGTAAAGTAAGAACCTGCGCCTCTTAGAATCTGAAACAGTCGATTTTCAAAATTATTTTTAGTACAAAGAATCTTCGCTCAGCCCGCCCAATTTCAACTCACCGACACCACCACCTCATAGTTAACATAGAAGAAGGCGAGACCACTCAATCGAAATGGATTGCTATTCAAATGTATTGCCAGTGCCATAAGCTTCATTAACTTTGCATTTTCGACAGCGTCCGTGGAGTGAAGTATGACATCCTCCCAACCGCAAGAGTAATAAGAAGTGCTCAGCTCATTTGTCTAAGTATAGCAAAAGTAATGATTGAGTTGAAAAATTAGAAGAGAAAATTTCACAAAGATCTCAAATTGAGCTTAGAGTACTATACTTACCGTGGTAGAGAGCGTTGTGCCCAAGCGTCCAAAGATTAGCAATTCGATCACCTTGCCAATTATCCAGGTAACAAACCTGATATTATCCGTTGACAATCCAATCTGAAAATGCAAATAACTCACAACTCCAACTCACTCGCAGCCCTTAAACACTCACCGTTGCTGTCAGAAACCCCAATACGCACAACAGCGTTGCGCTCAAAGCCATCATTACAAAAACACGAAAGGAGTATTGCTCCTGCAGCGACTCGGCGAATTTATTCAATTCCACATTGCGGCGAACGACATCAATTAACCCATAGCGAAAGCGGCTGGTCACCGTAGCATTTTCCCCCTCGCCCTTGTGCATGGCGTGCCCCTCTATAGCATTTTGACAAATTTTGCGCAAATCCCGCAACAACAATGTATAACGTGCATTCAAATGTAAAATCTGCATGGCCAGCATATTGGCCTCGGCTATCAAAGGTCCCACAACCGCAAAGCCAGTCCACAATGCCATGGCGAGAAATAAAAGATAGCCCACAAAGGTAGCTTTATAATCATATTTATAAATGACCGGAAAGGGTAGTAAGCGTTGTTGATGTATCAAACCCATAATTGGTACATAAAAGTAGGTCACAAGTGTGATAATGTATGTCGATGTGGAATATTTCGTGGGTAGCTGCTGTCGGCGTATCTGCTCAAAGAGTTCGGGGTTCCAAGAACTGCATAGGAAGCGTGGTATTAGAAGAAAATGTATTAGTGTTGCAGAGATTTTTTTTCTTCAGAGAGTCTAACGTGTATATTACCGTTCAATGTAGATCTTCTTGTAGAATTCTTCTAGATGCACTCTAAAGCTAGCACGCTTGTAAATTATGTTATAGGCGCGTAACATCATTTCGAAAAGTATTAGAAATGGCGCCAATATGGCACAGACAAAACTGATGTCATCGAGGCTTGCACACATGAGTTGCATTTCACCAAACAGCACCGAACACTCGGATATAAATTGGCACATTATCATAACTGTATCTACGATATAACGCCATTTCGAAATGTTTATGGCTGGTGGCCAGCAACACGCACCCATATAGCCATATAGTTGCCAATCGATGGGAGGATATTGGCCATTTGGCAGTAAAGGCCGGTGGTAGCTTGAGGGTAAGTAGCGCATAGTGGCCGATTTGATAACTGGGTTACCGAGGTGATAATATTTGCTGAATTCAATTTAACACTGCATTGATGGAGTTTTTGGTTTACAAATAAAAAGAAGGTGTATTGTTTCAACCATACTACAAAATTATCGGATTCTATCCATATCGCCTAGTACCAAACACCTAATCAAATCTAGAGGCTAAACGTCGAACCCTTGATAAAAAAAACTTACGCTGATATCCATAGGGATTGCAATTGATCGTAGCCGGGATTTACAAGACGATGATTTGCTCAATTATTTCTTACGGCAATTAGATCATGCTAACAGAGATCATGTCCCAAATAAAAAAGTAAACCATCACAAATTGTAGTTAATCACTAACCATAGCTGTCCACAACGCGGTTTGAGGTCTACAAAATAGTACAAATGTGGTAAACAGTGTTCGCACCCGTGAAACTCGATTCAGGGCTAAATCGTTTAAAAAATCTGAGCAAAACTAAATTCCGTAACAGATTTGCATTTTTTATTTTCGCTTTTGAGAGAATCAAAAATTCAAAATAAGAACGCAAGGCAATGTAAGGATAAAATTTACATATTTAGGTAGTTTTTAATACTTTCTGTAAACTAGAATATATCTAACAGGCCTTTTTTTAAAAAAGCATTAGGTGCTGAACCTTTTCTACTTTATGTAAATTTCCTTATACGTTTATTTTTAAACGAGTTAGTAAAATAAAGTAAAGTTTACATCCGCTAAGTTCTACATCTTTTCATCAGCGATATTTTAACTAACCTAACTTTCAATTTTTTTTAATGAAACCCGTAAGTTAACTGTGAAATAGGTGGCCTAAGAAGGGCAGAACATGAGTGAAAAAACGGAGTAGATTTGAAATGAAGTGAAGTAGAGGAGTAGATTTCAAAATTTTTCAAAATCCGGAGTAAATCTAGTCTGCTTTTCCTAATATTAACGTCAATGGCCCACAAATGGCGGAAAAAAAACAAAAGTTTTCGACTGGGGTTCGGAAGGAAGGAGGGCTGCAAATTCGCAGGGTGCACTTGATGATAAATTTTTTTTTTTTGCTATGTTATTCGAAAAAAAAGTCTGATCATGCATTTCCGAACGTTCTTTGTTGCAGTGTTCGGATCAAATATTTCAACCGTATTTAAATGCCCAATGTTGGCTATTTAAATGAGGAAAACGTAAATCTGAGTTTGAATACGAATTCAAAATTGAATTCAAAATTAACTTACATAAATGCCATTTAATTTTCTGATCTGAAATTGGCCCTAAAACCAATCAATCAATTTATCAAAGAAGCTTCTTAAAAACGTGGCTTGAGGTTAAGGGCATCGGAAATAAATTGGAAATAAATATTATAGATCTACGTATATTAAAGTAAGCCAAGAGAAAACAAAAATTAAAAAAAAACAAATTGGCGCTTACACTATTGCTAAATATTTGGCCGAGCTTCTCATCCAATTTGTGATGTGCGCCCTAATGCTATAACACAAATGAATGAATCGCAAATTTACGCTGCCTCCGAACGGAAAATATAGTTTTATGACAAACTTTTTCGTGACATTAATATACTCGGAGATCTGACAAAGGGCGACGACTTTTTCTAATTTGAAATATTGCTCGTACCAGGCATCGAACATAGGTTCGTCAGCGTGGTAGTATGCATCTCTAACTCGTCTACAGTGGCCGTTATTCAACAAGTCATGGATAAATGGGAAAGCAGAATATTTCTACCCAAAAGTTTGGCTGGGAAAAAACTTGTACCGTCTAGTCCCCGTTAAAAAGGCAAATCAACTAGAGTAGTAGTCCTGGGTATCGAAAGTTCATTGGGCTCACCAGATACTGCGATGTATAAAAATAGCATAGCCTATAACCAACGCAGGACTAATCTTGCTATTTTTCAAACAGCCAGCTAGCACAAAAAAAGTGTTCTAAAATGCGATATTGTTATATTAAGCCCTGTAAGATATGCAGTATCGCGTTCCTCTGTTCTAGGTGCCGGTCACCGCAACATCCATGGCAGCGAAATGGCAGATGAGCTAGCACGAAACTTCTAAAGTCTAGATCTCCTAAAACCTGAAGAAATCAATCAATCAATCAACGTTTTCTTATGCCATATACCAAACCAAGCTTTCCACATAAGAATTTCACTTGCGTAATATTTTCTCAGGGTTGCCAGGTAGTCTACCCCTTTTCAATCTATTCAAAATATTACATTCTTCAAATTATATTTCATCAGCAATAAGCATTTAATAGCTCTTTATCTAAACGCACAAAGCAACTCAATATGTAGCTTTTATCTAATAATTATTCTTCCGTTAGTCGCTTACTCTACCGTAGCCTCTATCCACTTGTTGTCTGAACCTTTCACAAAGTTTTCGCACTTTCACCGGAAAATCATCAATCAGTGCGCTTTTATACGCCATTTTATCTATTGGCTAGGAGCTTTCGCACGTGTGCCTGCGTACGTACATACCTTCCTAGTTACATACATATATCTGTACTTAGTTAAACTTTAAGCAAAGCATTGTCTTTCAAGCTGCATTTATGCATGAGCATTTTCTCGTATTGTTTACACAGATCGGTAAACTTGACCAAAATATAATTAAAACTTTTACCAAACAACTTAATTGGCTTGTTCGGGTATGCGAATTGTACATGTGCACATCGAAAATTTATCCAAATACATTTCTTAATAGTTTTAGAAATAAACTGATGAACGTATTTAAATTGAAAGACATTTAGGCCAAGCTTCTTGCGCCGAACAAAATCTGAAGAAAAAACTTGCTATGAAAACGTAAATGAAATTTTTTTTAATTTTCCCTTTGTTGCAGAAATGCTGCTCCAGCATTTGGATGTATTTCCCTAACAAAAAGAAAAATTTGGGAAACAAATTTCTCGTCTCTTTGAGTAGGCATCGAACCAGGGATCTACATACACTCAACATGCCAAGCACAAACACACTCGTGCTTGGCAACCGCCATAAACTTCTCGTACACCAACAACATCATTAGTTGCTCGTGCGAATGGTAGCAATTGCGTCAATTCCTCAATCAATTGACCCTTTTGACCTGCCAACGGTTGACATTCACTCTACCACTGATGTTTCAATTTAGTTAGTAAACGCATAGTTGAAGGTTGTATAGTTGAGCGGCTCATCTAGGCATCGAACACTAAGTGAGAAACACCAATGGATTCGGTGAAATCGATTGGTCATTGATTGATGATGGAAATATTAGTTAAGAAAGAATGATTGTGATACAAACACTTTAAATATGAGCCCCTTTTATTTGAGGCAATGGTTATTATGACCGGTTATATTTGGGAAAAAATTTAAACATGCAAAAATAAGAAAATTTAATGATATTGTATACGCTGGTCGCTAAGTTGGCCAAATGGTAATTAAAGCTTTGCTTTTGCAAACAGCTTAATTGGCCTATCCGCGTGTGTGAAACGTAAATCTGTTCATCAAAAAGTTTTGCCCGTCGTTCTTACCCACCATTTCAATTGTGATTGCATTGTTCATGCCTCACTCGATTCACTGCCTTCAACTCACTGCAACTCAGAAGTTGACATTTCCACACACAATGACATACATATAAATTTTGTAAACATGTAGCCGGTAAACCTTAAACATTCGGTGAGGCGCTACAGCAGAAGCGAATCGGTGGACAAAATTGATTGACCATTGATTGATGTTTTAACTACTCATTTAGTGCAATACTGTGGATGTGAGTGACAAAGGGTAGCTGGAGGGCTCAAACGAGACTGTATGAACTGATGCGAATAGATGGAAGGTGCAAATGTTAGTAAGATCATTAATTTTGAGAAATATTTTCTGCATGTACTATTTACGTTGGTTAACAGTGATTGACTTCCAGCTTGCAAGGCAATTCTGGCTAAGATAGTTGTAAGGCTTTTGGAAGCCAATTTAAAGGCAGTAGGCAAGATAGTTTGAAAGATTTGGTTTATTCTGGCAAGAAGGTCTTGCAAACAAAAGCTCCCATGCCAACTTTCATGGTGAAACTTTGGCCATTTTCTAAAATTACGTGCGACTTTTACCCCCTTCTCAGAGACTATTTTAGGAAATGTTAACTGAAAGATGCTATTAAAAAAATATCACTTATCTAAAACTCTTGAAGGAAATGCAACTAGTGGCGGACTGTACCACTTTTTCCGGCAAGAAATATCGTTGCGAATATTGGATCTTCGCGTAGCGAACTTTTTTATTTTATTTTTTTTTTTTTTTAATGAGGCAGTTCACTGTTTTATGCTTTGTTGTGCATTTGTGCGAAACGACGCCATAACGGTGCCATATGTTGGTTGTAAAAAACTGCCGATTTTCGCACTTTCACTCAAACGCACACAGTTTCGCATCAAAGAGTGAGCTCCAGTTATGTTGTTCATTAGTTTTTCGATATTGTTTTAAAAAGAAACATACATACATACATATTTTTTAACTTCATTTATTTGTTATTATTTTTTTTTCTTTTAGTGTAATTTTAAGACTTTATTATTTCAAAAATTAATTTCATTTAAGTTTTAGAAGATTACAAATTTATTTTTTCTTTTGTTTAATAAATTTTTTTTTTCATTAAATTTCTTTTTAATTTGAGGCTTTCTCTAAAGAAAACGATTTTTAAATTTCATTTACTTAGAAACTTATTTCTTGTATTTTTCGCTTTTTTCAATTAATTAATTTTTTTCGTTTTAATTTGATTTTCGTTTTTTTAATTTTCGATTTTATTGTTTTAAAAAGAAACATACATACATATTTTTTAACTTCCTTTATTTGTTTTTATTTTTATTATTTTTTTATTGTAGTTTTAAGATTTTATTATTTTAAAGATTAATTTCATTTAAGTTTTAAAAAATTACAAATTTATTTTTTCCTTTTCTTTAATTAACTTTTTTTTCGTTAAATTTACCTTTAAAGTTTAGACTTTTTTAAAGAAAACTATTTTTTTAAATTTCATTTACTTAGAAACTTAATTTTTGTATTTTTTCTTTTTTTCAATTAATTTATTTGTTTCTTTTTAATTTGATTTCCTTTTATTTTTAGATTTTATTTTTTTGTAGACAAATATTTTCTTAATTTCATTTAAAATTTCATTTACTTTTTCTTTTTCCATTTTAGCTTCCTTCATACACCCAGATATCCCATTAAAAAGTAACGTTTCTGAAACACGGCTTAAGCCACCCGGCTTGAAATTATTCAGAATAGATACCTAGATACCAAACTACACATAGGCTGCACCAAAGGAGCTACATACTCACGCCATTCAAGCAATCTATGTATTCATACTCTCACCTCCACTCACAAACTGCAATTTAACTAAGCAAAATTCCCACAGAGTACAGCAAATGTTCGCATTTAAATGCACCACAACTTAAGTAATACTCGCAGGATATATAACTACTCACTATATAGCGATTTAT